AGACGAGAGAGAGAGAGAGAGAGAGAGAGAGAGAGAGAGAGAGAGAGAGAGAGAGAAGAGAGAGAAGAGAGAGAGAGAGAGAGAGAGAGAGAGGAGTGAGTGTGTGTGAGGTGAGAGTGAGAGTGAGAGTGTATTTTTAATCTACCTCTGCCAATAACATTCTGCATTACACACCTTGACCAATTTTAGGTGTTCATGTTACAGACATGTGTTGTACCAGGGATATTTGTATGCTGTTGTATATTTGGCAGCATCTTTCGTGTCACAGTCGGCCTGCCAATGTTTAATGTTTGAAAATAAATGTGCTAGACATCAGAGGTCATATAGCACTATGGTAAAGTATTGCGTCGGAAAGGGCAAAGGAAAGTTAAAGATTATGATAAAATGTGTTAGATGTCAAAGGTTTAAGAACGTTATAGGATAATATGGTAGTGAAAAGGGGGGTAGGGGAGCAAGTGAGCTAAAGCAGAAGTTAGTATAAAGGGGAGGGTTGGGCGATTGAGTGAATTATAGTGTATCTGTCACTGGCGAATGTTTAGGGAAAATGTTCAAGGAAAAATAGAGATAGCTGTTGAAGAGTAAAAGAAAAATCTGGGGAGAGGATGGTGTTAAATATCAAAGATTAGAGGGTATTACTGGAAAGTATGGTAATGAAAAGGGAAAAGGAGGGAAGTAAATAAAGCAGAGCAGTGTTTAATAAATGGGAAATGTTAAATAGGTAGATCGATTTAATGAATTGTATTGTATTTGTGACTGGGGAAGGAATAGGGATAATAGGTGATAATGTTATATATGGTTGTATTAGTAGTAGGGGATTAGGTATCTGGGGGTTAAGACAAAGGATCAGGAATAGGTGAAGGAGTAGTGTCTGGGGGTTCGATAGGGACAGTGGGGTCTGGGGAAGGATATTGTGATAAGAGAGACTCGCGTGTATATCCAGGAGGGAGTGGGAGGGATAGTAGGGTTTTGGGGGGAGGTTCAGTTTGGGTGGTATGGGCGGTTTGGGTGGTTGAGAGGATGAGCCATCTTGGGAAGGGGTTGGGGGAACATAAGGGGGCAGTGCAAGTGAGTGAATTGCAGTGTATCTGTGACTGGGGAAGGAGTAGAGACACTGATCAAGGAAAACAGATGTGGCTGTTGGAGAACTAGGAGAATAATCCAGGGGTTGAGAAAGAGAGACTGGGGAAGGTGGTGAAGCACTAGGAAAAATGTTTGGAGAGGAGGGGTCTGGAGAAGGACACTGTCGTGATAGAGGATTCGTGTGAGTATTCAAGTGATAGAGGGGGGGTGTAGGAGGAAGGGGGGTGGAGGGAACTTGAGAAGGAGGATGAGTATCTGCAAATACTTTAAATGTAGCAGGAGTAGGGACAGAGGGACTGAGGGGTGGATGAGGGAGCGGAGTGTTCCCTTGGGTCATCGTTAGGAAGTTTCGGATGTCTTCAAGGGTTTCTGAAGGGGAATTTGGTATAGAGGACTGAGAAACAAATGTTCTCTTATAAGGAGGAGAAGAGGAGATCGATATCTGAGGAACAGACGAAGAGGAAGGTGCAGGAGAGAATGTAGTAGGAAGTGTGGAGTGGAACGTTGAGGTTGTCTGGTACGACAACTAAAGTGAGGAGGAGGGGTAGGTATCCGGGAAGTGATAGAGATTGGAGTATCTGGATTTAGGATGGAAAATGGATTTGATTGGTGGATAGGGTGAGTAGACATAGGACGTAGGTTTGGGTATTGGGAAAAGATACCAGGGGAAATGCAGAAATATCTTGTGTAGATGGTGAGGGAGCAGAGCGCAGGACTGTTTTGGAATAAGTTGAGAGAGAAAAGCCTCGTCGTCGTGCTTCCTGTCTGTCCTCTCGTAGAGTGAGGCCTAGTTTAAATCTGAGCACTGCTACCTCACATTCAAACTTATAGGTAGGGCAGCTCCTATAAAACACATTATGGGAGTCCCCACAATTGGCACATGTAAGTGACTGAGCAGGGCAATTTGAACGGCCATGGCCAGGTTGGGCACAGAAAGGGCATCGGGCTGTGGAGCGACAATGTTTGGCTGGGTGGCCAAAACGCCAACATTTTTGACATTGACGAGGAAGGGGTTGATATTGTCGGACATAAGACAATTCACCAATATAAACCTCATGGGGGAGGTCTTGTCTATGGAAGCTAATCTTGGCAATATTGACATGAGATTTATGTTGGCCTCCAGGAGGAAGAGTGTAACACTGTGCTGCCACTGCATCATATTCAAGGCAAGAAAGTAGGTAATTTTCACAGTCTGACCAGTCCTTGTTATACATGGGACAAGCATTTGGGGAATAGAAACAGTTCCAGTACAAGTATTAAGATTTGGGTGAGGTTCGACAGGAATGGGTTTGCCAGTAAGGTCAGTTAGGGCAGATAGTACACGAGCTTGAGCTTCAGATGTAACCGTGACAAGGCGTGAACGATCAGAGCGACTGGGACAGGTAACCTTGCCTACTTGTTTCTGGAGGCACTGCTGAAAGAGAAGGGTATTCTCAGAATAGGGGGCTGTGGGGGGAATCACAAAGAATCAATCCCACTTGGCTGGGCCCAATGGAGTACCCGGAAGGTTTGCAGAGGTAGAGGTAGTAGAAGGACGAGGGTGAGAGGTAGATGGGGTGGTGTGGAATAGAGTAGTTCTGCAGGGGGGAGGACAATAAGGATGAATAGTAGTAATAAGGGAAGAGGGGGTTGACATTGAAGAGGGTCGTGCAGTAGGGGATGAAGAGGAGAATATTGGGGATGAGGAAAAGGTATTTTCCAGGGGTTAAGTAATAACTTGAATGGGTTTTTCAGAATGGTTAGAGTTGTTCGTAAGCGTCAAAGAGGGGGTATTAGCATCAGTGGTTGGAGCCGTGGCCAAAGGAGGGGCAGGGGTAGGAAAACCATCAAAATCAAATTCAGATAGGCTATTTGATGAAGGAGCAAGCCTTAATGCCCCTATCAAGGGTAAAGAATCTTCATTACTGGCCACGGTGAGCCTGAATAAACTGGGGAAAAAAGTGGTCTACCCCTTAGGGTCCCCGTAAGGGGTAAGGGCTAAGTAATCGACCATGGAAATACCGTACCCATGGCTCCTGGAGGCCGTTCGTGATTGACACAAAGCCAGCCTTTCATCCTTTCAGCACGGCTCTCACACCTTAGGAATGGGATAGAAGGGAGTAAAGAAGATACGGAAGAGGAAAGAGAAGAAAGGACCAAGCAAAATTAGTTGAGGCAAGGGCTGAGGCCCAAGGTAGGGGTAATCCTCAACATTGGGTCTCAGTCCCCGTCTCCTAAGCCCTCCCATGACGACAACGAGCTAGGTTTTGGGAGGGGTGGGCCTGCCAACCTGGGCTTCCCTTGCATTAATTTCCAGATTTTATTCATTATATTGCTACATATGGTCAATTCTAAAGCCATTTTCAGAGGTAAGTAAAACTATGATTTTACTTTCCCATTAACAAGTATATTTTGTAATGCAATTACAGTAAAAAAGTGAGAAGAAGAAAATAAATAGTAAACAATTACTCCTTACTTTTAAGAGTTCATGCAAATCAAATCATATTCTTACAAGATTTTCCTTAAAAAATACATAAAATAAAAGCAGAAAATAAGTTAATAAATAAATTCTGACCTTTACTTTGTCACACAACATTCTTCGTGACAACTCCTCATATATCTCGGGAGTTCACCACTCATCAGGCAGCTCAAAGCCCCTTCATCAAAGACAATTTTTCTTGTCTACGCAGTTACAAGTTGGCCAAACCGTGTACATGTCTGTGGTAATGTGGTGTTTGTTTATTTGAAAATAAAATGAAATGGAAAAATAAAAAAGTGGTGGCCACTAATTCTACACCATCTATTGCATAATTCTTTATCACAAATTAAATTTTTTCCCATCATTTCTCACCAAGACTTTTTTTGCATATTGCTGCAAAACAAATGATCATAAACAAATTTGCTTCTATAAAAAATAAGATATACTTCTCAAAGCGGAAAACACACATCTTAACACAATAAATATGAGAATAATAAAAATATCATATGAGAATATTAATGAAAATATCATTTTAAAAAATGCTTAGATCACTCAATAAAACAAATAACATTTCCATCGTTAGTGCATGAATGCAATACAGATTCTTACAGATGTATATAATACAAAACTAAAGTTTTCTGTTTCTTCTCTAAGGTCAGCCTTAAAAAAAAAAAAAAAAAAAAAAAAAAAAAAAAAAAAAAAAAGGGTAAGAATCTGAAATTTGTCTGCGGTGAGTAGTTGTCTGCTGCGTAACATATTCTGATAACGGTAAAACAAAGGAAATCTGCTAATAACTAACTGCTTGCTGACAAGCACCCAAGTCACCAAGATCAACACATAAATGCAGACTAACTGCTTTAACAATACTTGACAATGAATATGCAACAAGAAGTCCTGCTTACTTATCTGTACTGCATATATCTACATCAGTACATAACCCACATGTGTGGTGGCACAATTTATACATGGTGTGCAGTAGTAACTATAAATACACTGCAGTACACTGTACATAAGATGTGCATCAGAACAGTGAGCACATTTGATGTGCAATAGTACATTATAAACTTCTGATGTGCATCAATGCAGTACACATTATGATGTAGTGACTTGCACATACCAGTGCATGATCACAATAATAAAAAATAAATAGAACAAAAAAGAACTGCATTTATAAGCACAATATGTAACAATATACTGTAAACATTTGACGTGCAGATGTACACTGGACATTCAATATGAAACAGTATACTTTTAATATTTGATATGCAGCAATGCAATGTTCACATTTGAATGAAGCTACATTGTACATATGTGGTTGGCATCAATACACTGTTCATGTCTGATATGAAGCAAAATACATTCACATCTCATGTACAACTGTACATAGTTGTCAACAAACTTATGTAGACAACAGACATGGCAATGCACACATATGACAAAATAATGTATACAATGTGAGGCAGTAAACCTTATACAGGATGTAACAGTACACTGTACACATGATGTGTGGCAATACTATGTACACAAGATTTCAGGCAGTACAGAGTACATATGTGTGACTGTACTCTGGCTACAAGACATGAAACTATAAGTCTCATGATTTTATATAAAAACTTAGCCTAAACTAGATATAACTTGTTACAGTGAAACAGTCAGCTCAAGGTTCATGTCATCTAGCACTACATTCAAATCTCACTGTATGGCTACACCAGAGGGTAACCCTTTCAACCTAACACCTTATTATGGCTAAAAGTACACATGACCCACATCAGACACAACACATAATAATAGGGACGGCCTGAGGCCAATCACTTTCCCGTTATACCACCTGAAGATCAACTGGTCCGAACTGTAGCATTATTGATCACTACAACCCATATTTATCATAGTCCAGTTATTATAGTTTTAACTCTCGATATAGTTTTTACAAAATTATTCCATTTGAGTACAGCTCTAGCAGTAAATATCTACTCATATAAGCATGGTGAAAAACACATTGATACAAGTTTAAGACTGGAAACCTCCATATATGAAACTTAAATAAATGGCAATACTTTACTAGAACTGAACAAAAACTGATGCATTCACTCATGAATAGACATAGCATCAATGAGTGTATATATATATACATACATATACATTATATATACATACATATATATATATACATATATATATATATAAATATACATATTTGGAACCAAAAATAAAACATAGAAGAAAAAAATGACTACAAGAAATCAGTAGAAACTAACATTATTGCATACAGTGATAACAGAACCAAACAAATTTCCAAGTTTGATAATATTTGTCATGTATTACAGAAATGCTAATAACCACTGTAAGGATACAAATGCAATGAAGATCTTTTGTTTATGGTCAAAGTCATACAAGGTCCAACGATTAAGAACAAGAAATATCTTTGGCCAACTGAAAGTGAACACAACCATACCAAAGCCAAGTAAAGTATACACAACCAATAAAGATTTTCTTGTCCAAATTTCCTAAACAACTTCAGGAATACACATACACAAACTCAGACCATAGCATGAGTTTCTTGAAGTCACCAGTCACCAGTGTATAACATTACCCTTTTAACTTCCGAGTATGAAAATAAAATTTCAAAATCCGTTGTCAATGGTCTTCTCATCTTCTATCCCATCACAGAAAGGTCAATATTTAATAATTCACTTATCATATCAATGATTTTTATTTTTGCGAAGTCCCAAAAAGTTGTAATATACAGTTTGAGGTTCCAGAAAACAAAACAAAAAATAAAAAATAAAAATAAAAATAATGACAAAGAAAGAAAGAAAGAAAAAAAAAAAGGTGAATGATATTTCCATCAAAAAGACTTTCCTGCATCTAGTAACTTTAAAGGTTTAAACAGAACAAGTTCTAACTTGCCCTCTGAGAAAAAAGTAAAAGAAAAAGAAAAAAGAAAAGAAAAAAAGGTTGGCTGCTGCATTTAGCATGATCTAATAAACCATAAAACTAAATAACGAGCTACAACTCTTGATCTGTAAACAGTATAACAGAAAAATGATAAGCCTATCATATGCCTAGGTCAAGTATCATACAACAGATCTCTAGTGAAACAGTATAAGTGAGATATGGGCTTGTATGGTGGGTTAATACCAGAGCTCTTTTATAAGAGTACCTCCATTGTGACACTTGCTACAGGAAGACACCAACTAGCTGTAACAGTTACTTTCCAGAAACAGAAATGGGTATTGTATTCACTACAATTGCTTTGATTAGTAACTGATATCTTAAACTGCAAATGACTTAAAAATGTACAAGAGTTCTGGATGTCTTCCTGTAGTTAAAATTGCATCAAAATGGCTTTCATTGTCAGACATGAGATAACTTATCTATAATTGAAGTTATATCACCCTTGACAATTCTTTTGAAATATACAGCACAACCCCTAACAAGATTCAGCCCAGTAATTCAAACTCTTGATATACCTGAAGGAACTCATTCATTCTTTTACTAGTTTCACTTCATCTTTCATGATGATACACAGGTAATTCCCACTCATTCAAGAGCATAAACTACATAGGACTGCATTTTATGAGGTTACATCATCCCCACTAGCATAAAAGTGAGGAAGGCAAGTTAAAAATATCATCATACCTACTTGCATCATAAGTCAGAAAGGCAAGTTAGAAGTTTTTTTTATTCATTTTTATGTCTCCCACTTGCATTACTGAAGTGGGAGGCAAGTTTAAGAATATGTACACACACCCACACATACACAAACACACACACAAACACTCAAAATCACTAACTCTCACATTCATACATTCACACACTTCTTCATGCATGCACACATTCACTCTCACAGTGTTTGAGGACTGCCACACACAGAGAGGCAAGTTAAGAGGGTATGTACACACTATGGTTGAGGAATGCCACACACAATGAGCACCAGAAGTTACCTTACACTTGTCACCCAAGCTGCCACTCTTCATGTAAGTCTCCATAATTTCTGCTTTCCGTTATGCAGGTGACTTTAGCTTTCATCTTGGACTGACCAAGTCTTGATTGATATGGATATACAAAGTATGAAACCTGACACTGCCAAACTTTCATCACTTGGCTTTAACCATCATATATTTGTTC